CTCCCAAACACCCCTCGCCCACTGTCCCTGCTCCCAGCCCCTCAGTGCAAACCCAGCTGCAGAGCTGGAGCAGAGCCTGCTGCTCTCACCTTCTCAAACACCTCGCTCTCCTCGTAGTTAAAGACACGGAAGGCCCCTCGGATCTGCTTCACCCCAGGGCACAGCAAATGCGCCATGTTGACATATGCCACGCCATGGAAGGCAATCTGCTTGTCCTCATCTCCCTGGAAACACAGAGCAAGGGACTGAGATCCTGAACAGGCTGTTATTCTCCTTAAGGGAACAAGGTCACCAATCTCATTAAGGGGAGGCCACACAGCAAACTGATGCACCTGATGAGCCCATGGTTCTGTCACTGGCGTGCAGCCGAGACAACCTGGATGAATACACTGGAGTCTTTCCATATGTAGAATATTAATTTTATCCCAATCCCCATGGGACAGCTTTTTTTCTCTAATTCCTGCACTCTGCTGTTCTTCAGGAAGGTCTTGTTGAGATACAGCTGGAAGATTATCAGCTGTGTAGTTAGAAATCCAGGTGATCCTACCAGAGTTGTGCATCTCAGGCTGGACAGAAACCAAGTGGCTTAGCAGGTGTGGGAGGCCTGGCTAGAAGGATCATCATCAGAGCTGCAAAATCCTGGCACTGTTGAGTGCCGAAAGGGATTTACACCAACTTATATGGCTTTGCCCTGGGATACATTAGGAGCTCTCACATAACCAGCTGCCAGGAGCAGAACCATTCTCTAAGGGGTTGTTTCTCTGTTAAACCACCCTGTTTTACGTGCAAAGGCATAACTTACCTGCAGCCTGAAAAAGAATGCATGAACTTCTTCAAGCTGTTCCAAAACCCCACTGGCCAAAGATCAGCTCAGTAAATTACTTTTAATTCTCTTCAAAGCCAGACTGGACAAGCCTCTGAGCCACTCTGGAAAGTGTCCCCGCCCATGGCAGGGGATTGGAAGGAGATGGAGTCCAGGGTCCCTTCCAACCCAAACTATTTGTGATTCTAAAAGCCATCCTCTCCCTGTTCCCTTTCCAGTGAGCAACCACAGACCATCAGGAGAGCTATAAGGAAAAAATATGACCCTGTATCTATTTAACAGCCCTATCAAGCTGATTTTTCACAAACCCTCCTGCTCTCTGACTCACTTTGGCAGCTTCAAGGCTGATTTTGGTATCACAAAGGCCTCAAGAGGAAAATGCCAGATAATGCAATGCTACTGCACAAGCCAGATCCCACTTTTACCTTGTCAATTTTGTTGGTTTTTCCTTTGCCAGCTGAGGCCATGGACATCCTGCAGAGCTCCACGGGCCAGTAGCGGCACTCAGCAATGCGCTTCTGCAGGCTGGGCACAAAGCAGATGCAGGATGCACTGAGGAGATGCAGAAACCCACCTGGAGAGTCCCACCACTCTCCTTGGGGCTCCAGCAGCTCCTCTTGGGTTTGCTTCACCCTATTCCCTCAGCAAACACCCTCAGGCCATGGCAACACTGTGATTTGGGGCAGGCTGGGTACATTTTCTCCTCTACCCGCTGCCATGTACATTTATGGCACTGTCAGCTTTAAAACAACTGTGAGAGCAACACAGTGGGTTTTCTCTCTCCCCCAGTTACTTCAGAAATAAGTAAGAAAGAATGTAATTAACTTTAGTATAAAACCTGAATTGTACAGAGCAAGTGGATCCTGAGCTTGCATTCAGTGTGGCTGGTGACTCTGACACCAGCAGCAGGTGGATGGATGTGTAGGGAAAAGAATTTCAAAAATCAAGTAAGATAGAAGTGAGTATTTCCACACAAGGAGTAATTTGGCTGTGAAATGCACAGCCATGATGCAGCTGAGGACAAAAAATAGCAGGATTCAAAGATAAATGCAACACTCATCCTGATCTTGAGCATATCTGGAGTTGCTAAAGGCAACACTTATCCAATACAAAAGCAAATGAAGAGTGCCCACATGGAGTGAAAGGTTTGAACGTATTTCGGATGCAGTGAAAACTTAATTAGCAGCTCAGAGGAGAGCTGTGGACGCCACCCTACTCCATATCTGCTCACCATAACTGCTGCCCCTTCCTTCAGACTATGGAGGAAGCCCCAGCTGCTGGCAGCAGGAGAGAGCATTTGTGGCCTGGAGACAGCAGCTCCAGCCAATTCACCTTCTCCCAGCACAGTGGAATAAAGCTGCTGCCAGCAGCTCAAGGCACTTCAAGGGCTGTGCCCTTGCTCAGGTGAACACTTGTGGCCAAGAGATAGCCACAGCAGCCATGGGAGATGAGGCACAGCCACAGTTTGACCCCTGAGTGGTCCAAGGGCACCTGCATGTTGCAGCTCCTTGCCTCAGGTTATTCTGAGCATGTTCTGGGGTTGGTGGCTCAGGTCCCTTACACAGCCACTGCAGCAGCGTCCAGGAAACAGCGCCTTTCCGTGTCCCACACGATTCTCTTCGTGCTCTCGGCCTGCATCCTGAATTCCCTGTCCTGTGACAAAGAGCGTGCAGTCAAAGCCAGGACAGCAAGCTCCACAGCCTGCATCATCCCCAAAAGTGTCCCCAGGAGAGAATGTGAGTCAGACAGAAGTATCCAAGTGCCCATAGCCAGGCCAGCCCCGCAGAGAGGCCAACAGCCTTTCCTGCAGACAACATCAGTGTTAAGTGCCTGGCTCAGGGGAGATAACACAGCTCGGCAGCCCAGCAGCTCGGTGTGGCTGTTTTCTGGGACCAGACCTGCCACATTCTCCCTTGGGATGTCTCCAGCAGTGAGTCAGCATGTCTGCTGTCCCAGGGGAACCACCTCTGTGCTGGGCACTGCACAGTGGTCACCCACCTCCCTCTCATATTAAGTTTCTCAGCCCCTCCTGGTTCTCTTCCAAACTTGCCAGTCCTTCCTCACCTCGCTTTTGGTGAGCTCTCCATCCTCATCCTCATAGCGCCCACCAACAATGAAGGAGTCAGGTATGTTCAGAGCACCAGGGGCCAGGATGGGGCCAAGGGGCCAGATTTTGGGCCGAGGCAATGGTTCTTTATCACCACCAGCCTTCAGGATGCCATTCTTGAAGAGCAATGGCAATTCTTTCTACAGAGACATGAGAAACGAAGGATTTGCATTTCTGACAGGAGCAGGAGCAAGAGCCAGAGCCAGCTGCTCCAAGCTGGGATAACAAAGCAAAGCAACAGTACAGGGTGCCTGGCTTGGAAAATGCACTCCACCACATGCATACAAAGAATGGAATAAAAATAAAGAGCCACATGGGAAAAAACCCTGCCAGTTTGAATCCAAATCTTTCCAAACTGACCTTTGTTTGTGTTAAAGAAACACATCACACCACAGAGACTCTGAGCCCTCCCAACAAAGGCTGTTGGTGCACAAGCACGGAAGCTGTGCACCCCAGTGCCTGGACACTTGTTCCATGGGGTGGGAGAACAACCCAAACCCAGCCAAACGCCCTGTAACTGTGCCTGGACCATTCTCACCTCGCCAGCTGCTGGTATTTGCAAGCAAGCCATGTAGTTTTGCTGGGCGTCAGAGGTAAAGGCTTCAGGGACGGAATAAGCTGCCTCCAGCGTGATGCTCAAGAGGTTCCCACTTGAGAACTGGGTGGCAGAGAGCAGGAGCTCTTTGGTGCTCACCATCACTTCAAGGCCACTCTGTGAGACAAAGATAAAGTGGAGCCAGCAAACAGACAATTACAACTTTCCTGCTCTTAGGGAGAAGCAAGCAGAAACCCAAGGCCAGAACATATAATGTTATCTTGTGCCTCATCTCGGATGTAAAAGAAAACAGCCCAGTACAGGAAAGGAATTTCAGGACCCATTTGGCTCAATTGTGGTATTTGTTTGTTTAAATCACAGCCTGGCTGAGGTATGGCACACGCCCCAAGGGTCTCATAAAATGAGTTGTGGAGAAAGGGGCAGGGTCTCATGAAAGGAGCCACAGAGAAAGAACATCAAGGGTGGAAAATGCTGCTTTTCCCCTGGTGACTCAGAGAGCCGCATCTTTGCCTCTGCCCTATCTCCATGCTCTGTGTGCAGCCTTTAATTACCTGTCCCAGCCCTGGATGGATGGTGTGTAAGGGAAAACCAGCTGGTCAGCATTTATTACCTGTCCTCTCTAATGAGTGCCCCCCCACCTTGCTCACTGTGAACTCCTCTTAAACACAGAGCTGTTAATGGGATATCCACCCCTCCAGTTCGCTCCCGGTGCTCGCTGTGGGCAGGCTCAGGAGCAACACTGGACACATTTTCCCAGCCTCATACTTCATGCCCTGTTTTAGTCACTGGGTACTTTGCAACCTGCTGAATGAATAAGGACCTTGCAGGAAAGGCAGTCAGAGTTTGTATAATAATGGACTCAGACATTTTATCTGCAGACAGGAAGGCTAATAAAGCTGGGCAGGTGACCCTGCCGTTGCCTTTCTGGGGCTTTTCAGCACTGTGCTTTCCATCTTTGTTATTTTTTGCAGAGCAATTGGGCAGCTGCACACATTAACATTTCCCAGCACGACCTCACCTATCAGAGGGAAGTAGGGACAGACGTCAGAGGGAGCGGGAAAGGCCTCTAAGCCTGTAACATATAGGGCTGTACCACATCCGTGATGAGCCAGGCAGCTGAGTCATGTTCTCCCTTCCCATTAAAAAGCAGCAGAGAGCTGAATGAGGGAAGGAACAGTTCCAAATTCCACATACCGTGGCCTCAGGGTGAAGCATCTCTGATGGGGAGGCAGGCACTGCATACAAAGGAGCAAAGACCTTCAGTGAACGCACTCCTGGGAAGAAACAGGAGTGAGAACAGCATGAAGTGAGACCCTCTGCAAAGAATCACACTCATGGAATTATTTGGGTTGGAAGGGACCTTAAAGATCATCTTGTTCCAGCCCCTTTCCATGGGCAGGGACACCTTACATGAGACAAAATCATGGCCTAATTCTTTCTGAATGCTGAGATACCTTCTCTCCCCCCAAGTCAGATTTTGCAGAGCTATGAAGGTCAATTTATCCAAAGGGGATAAATTGTAGTCAGGAGTCCATAAGCAGAGATCAGAAAGTGCCAGGGAGCAAGGAGTGGTCATGGAGGCTGTGAAACTGTGTTGTACCTTGCAGCAGAGGTAGAAGGTCCACCACAGCTTGGCCAAGAGGAGTGATTTTCTCTGGTTTTTTCTTCTCCTTTGGCACCACATTTAGCACTGTCACTAGGGAGATAAAAAGAGAGGAGCTGGCAGAATTCCTTGGACCAGCAGGTCCAGCAGACCTGTGAAGGTCTTTGTGAGCTCTGGCAAAAGCTCCTCTTCACCTCCCAAGGCTGACAAGCACAGCAAAGCCAAAGGAGCACGGGCCAATGTGAAAGGGGATTCTTCCAGCTGGCAGAGATGGACAAGAAGGGCTGAGAGCCTCCCATCACTGCTTCTGAAGTGCTATTCCTGAACCAGTGACTCCTGCAGTGACAGCACCCAGCTCCAAGGAGGGAGAACTGGTACCAGCTACTTACAGAGCAGTGGTTTCTGCACAAGGACATCCAAGGAGTTGGGCCCATCAGGGCTGCACTCAAAGCTGGTGCTGAAGTCATATTCTGCTGACCCATCTGGCAGGACATGAGTCTTGGGAGAGTCTCCCAGGACTGCTCCGTTGTACTCCACACGCACCAACGTAAACAGCACATTGCTTTTGAGAGCTCTCTGTCAAAAAAAGAGCTCAGTGAGCAGCTGGCTCTGTGGCAGCATCCCAGGATCAGAGTTCCTCTGGCATCAGCTTGTGTCAGTGACCAGGACAGGGCTCACTTGTGGGGGCCTATTCCACCACATGAATGGGGAAGAGGAGCAGAGCTTGGCCACACTGAGACCTCACCATTCTCTGTCTTTAGGAGGGAAATTTCCTGTTCCACCATGCCGTGATGCCCCAAAGATTGTCAGGAGATGTGGCAAGGGAGATAGAGAGGTTCAGGCTTCACCTCAGGAAAGACACATCTAAAACAAATCCCAAAATACTCCACTGATATTTTTGCACTTCCAGGAAGCTTGAGACCTTTGCTGTCTCCTAAGAAAGCAGCTCCTGAGTTACAGAGATGAGCTCACGGGACACCTGTGGATGTCACATTGTAGAGAATGTCCTGAAATGGACAAGAGAAAACAGCCTCAAGTTGTGCCAGGGGAAGTTTAGGTTGAATATGAAGGAAAATTTCTTTACTGTAAAGGCAATCAGGCACTGGCACAGCTTCCCCAGGGAAGTGGGGGAGTTTCCATCCCTGCAAGTGCTCAAAAGACACGTGCATGTGGCACTTGGGAACATGTTTTAGTGGTGTCCTTGGTAGTGCTGGGTTAAAGGTTGGTCTTAGAAGCCTTTTCCAACCTAAATGATTCCATGATTCTGTGAAATCAAAGGAAGGGCTGCAGCAAGCTCCTTGGGAGCTCTGCAATTTGTTGTTACATCACCTTCATAGCACTTGCTTTAATCAGAGATGAGGAGATTCAGATTTTACTTAGAATTTCAAATGTCTAAACAGAGGGGCTTTGTTTAAGCTGGAGAGGGACAGTGAGGGCACAGCACATGGCAGTGGGGACCCACACGGGCAGCATCGGGCACCTGCACAGCAGAGGAAGTGCTGGGCAGCAAGTACCAAAGGGCTCCCTGCAGCAGAAACACAGTTTAGCTCTCAATGCACAGACAAGTGGCTGAACACAAGGACCATTGTCCCCAAACCCAGCTTTTCCATAGTGCTGAGCCACAGGGTTGCCTAACCCGCCCTCAGCTCCCTCTCTCCCTGTCACTGGGGTAATTAGTTCCATGCTGGTTCTTACACAAAAAGAGATCTCTTTCACTTGGTTTTAATTTTCAGCCCTTCTCACTGTCTCCTTGAGGATACATCCCATGAATGGCTAAACAGAAGAATCCAATTAACCTTTCCCTGTACCATTAATTATCCAAGACTCCTCTCTCATCTTTCTCCACATTGCCTCTAATTAAGCAGATTCCACACTTACAGCTAGAAGTGGACTCCACATTCTTACAGACAGATTTTTTTCATATTGTTGCTGTGATTATTGCCCTTTTGTAACCCCCCTCCCTTTTGTACAGCCCTTTCTCACGGTGGAGCAATCAGAACCACAAAGCAACATTCCAGATGCAATCAATCTAGGAGTCTTTTCTTCCCAGCATTGTTTATCCTCCTCTCACCTCATACCTCACCTAAGCTGCTTTTGCTGAATCCATCAGTGTAAGAAGTACTTCAATACTACAATGTGAAAGCCCCAAACAGGTGCTTTTGGATTGCTTTTTCTGTCTGCTGCTGGAGTAGAAGCAGGGATTTGTATTTTTTCTGCTTGTAGCAGGAGCTGAGCTTTTCCTCCACCTTCCCTCCCAAATGCCAGTTCCTCTGGAAGACTTTAAGGACAGCTGGGTGCATCACATGGAAATCACAGCAGTAGTGGTTTGATTGGCATCAGCTCATAGCCTTGAACTAGATCCACTGCCTTTATAAAACCAGAGCCACTCTATTGCTTTCAATATGATTTAAACAGCTGGAGATGAGATGAAAATCTGGCTTTACAAGCAAGGTGAGGTTCTTTCGTAGGTTTTTGTCTCATTGATCACATTTTTGCTGTGTTCTGCTTAAAAAACCTGCCACTTCCATACATTTAGAGGAGGCAGAGAGGTACATTTCACCCCAGTATCTCTGGCCTACTGCTAGGGAGGTGTGTTCCCCAATTCATGCGCCTCACAAGATTTTTCCTCTGTGTGAACTCCTCAGCAGGGAGGAGGAAGCCACAGTGTGGCATTGCTGAACTTCAGATACTCCCACCACTCCTTCCTTTAGTTTTATCATCCCCCACCTGCTCTCACAGGGAATCCCTGTGCACACAGAATAGTTCTGGCCTTGTTTATTAAATTAGCAGAGATATTTTCAGAAATTTACCAAGTTCAGTGCATCCACAACTGTGATCTGTACTGGTATTGGCAGTGACACACTGGGAAGAGCTGCAGCAGCAGGCTCCTTCCCACTAGTCAGCCCCGCAGGGACCTCCATGGCTCTGCAGGAGAAAGAATGAGGAAAGAAACATGAAACTGCTCCATTCCTCTCCCAGATACCTCTGCAGGACACAGCAGTGCTGGTTGCAAGCGCTATTCAGGGCTTGGCTGTCAAAACACCATTGAAAGCACAGGGCTTTGGCAGTGACGAATCTCTCACGAGGTGCAGGGGGAGGACTGGGAAAAATGTAATGTGAAAATTATCCATTTCTGTAAGCTTCACCCAGCTGCAACTCCTAGGAAAGGTTTGTTGTGCCAGGCTATTCTCAGCTCTCAGTACATCCCTGGCTCTCTTTTACTCCCTTTTTAAGTTAATGGTGAACCCATGGGCCAAAAGCCAGCGCCCATCAGCCTTCATGGCTCCCAAATTCCGTGGGGCCTGGCTCCATCTGCTCCAGTGGTTCGTGAATCCCTCAGGGCTCCCCAGGGACCCCACAGCCCCCTCAGGGCAGCATTGATGAGCTCGGGGCTCCTCTCACCCTGCTGTGCTCCTGCAGCCCCTCACCGACGGTCCCGGGGGTCTTCCCAACCCGGGGGTCTCCTGCAGCCCCTCACCCACGGGCCTGGCGGTTCTCCTACCCCAGAATGGCCCTGCAGCCCCTCACCCACGGGCCTGGCGGTTCTCCTGCCCCAGAATGGCCCTGCAGCCCCTCACCGACAGTCCCGGGGATCTTCCCGACCTGGGGCGCACCTACAGACCCTGACCATCGGCCTAAGTGCTCTGCTGACCCGAGGGCTCCTGCAGCCCCTCACTCACGGGCCTGGAAGCTCTCCTGCCCCAGAATGGTCCTGCAGCCCCTCACCGACAGTTCTGGAGGCCCTCCCGCTCCGGGGGGATCCTGCAGCCCCTCACCGCAGCCCGCCGGGGCACTGTGCGGCACCGGGGCTCGAACTTGCGGCTTCCCCGACTCGGCGGAGGGCTCGCGTCCCGTCACCACAGCGACGGAGCCGCTCCCGCAGGACCCCGAAACCTCGCGGGACCCCGGCCCAGCCCCGCGTGTTGGGGGCGTGCCCGTGAGGCCGCGGCCGCCGCCATGATGGGTGTGGGCAGCCCTAAGCAGGCCCTGGTGGGGCGGAGGTTCCTGCGAGCTGTCCCGTGTGGACTGGCGGTGCTGCACGGCCACCGTGGCCCTCTTTGCAGCCTGGTGTGCCCGGCTGTTGACGGAGCCCGCTGTTGGCCTCCGCCCCTGCTGGCACAGGCCGTGGTGCCCACCCAGGCACTCCCTCACACCCCAAGTGGGGCCCCTGAGGGGTCCCCGCAGGCTGGGCTGGACTGGGTTGGGGACCTTATGGCGGAGCGGTGGGGCAGTGACTTTGTGTCCATATGGTAACAGAGGGGTCCCAGAGGCTTGGGCGGCCCCCCGAGCTCCCCACAGGCTTGCTGTGTGGCACGCCACAGGGTCTCGGGGCACCCCAATGCCACCAGCGCGGCTTTTGGGGCGGGAGCCGGACCCCCGGAGCGGGTTGGCCCGTTCCCGGGGAGGAGATGCCCAGAATAGCTCCGTTATCCGATTCCGAGGGGCCACGGCCGTCTGCACCGCCGGCTCCTGGGGGCTGACATTTGAGCCCAGCCGGGGACGGGACGGGACGGGACGGGAAGGGCGCCGGGACTGCCTGGGATTTCCCGGCACTACCGGGACAGGAGTGGGATGGCGGGCGGGAGGCGCCGTGGGGGTGGCGGGCGGCGCGGGGGACCCCGGCAGCACCCGGAGACCCCCGGACCGGCCTCCTCGCCCGCACCCCTCTCTCCTGCAGTCACCACGGCCCAGCCAAACGCAGGTGCTGCTCCCAAAACCGGCCGCTCCAAGAAGGCCCCGGAGGAGCCAGCGGCGAGGGCTCCGGACGTGGACTCGCTGGGCTTCCAGGCCATGGACCGCAACGTGCCGGGGCTGTCCCACGTCATCCTGCAAAAGCTCAACATGAAAAGCTACGAGGACTACAAGTGAGTGAGCACCTATGGGTGCTTATTCCCGACCCCCTCTCCCGGGAAGAACATCCCATGTGTCTCCCGGCAGCTGGAGCAGCTCCCATGGCTCATCCCACCATCACGGTTCAGCCCACCAGAAACTCTGATGGGCTCCTGGGTGGACCCCTCCAGGGTGCCTGGCTCCCTGTCCTCACCCAGGCCAGGATGCTCCTGGCTGGAGTTAAAAATCTTGGCAAGCCTCAGAGAGTCAGCCCCAGCGATGTGGCAGTGGGCTGGATTCTGCTCACCCTCTGACATCTGCAGGTCTGCCATGGACGGGAGGAAGAGCGGCAGCGATTTTGGCATCCGGACGTATTTTGACATGTTCCAGAAGATGGAGGACACCTTCAAGTTTTGTGTTGAGTGCAAGAAGCTCCCTGATGCCCTCCCAGACCCCAAAAGCCTCCGGCGTTGCAAGAGGTAAGGTGGGGAGATGGTCTGGTGCCCCAGGGATGGATCCATCCCTCACTTCCAGCCTGGTGGCTGACATGAAGTGAGGGATGTGTGTTTCCTGGAGTGCCCACCTCCAGCTACAGGGCACCCCCAGAACAGTGACATAGCCCTGAGAGGAGGTGGCAGGGAGCCAAGCTTGGTGGGCTGGATTGTGCCCCCCCTCCCCATGGCTGGGCATGCTGCCTGTCTGCCCAGGTGCCAAAATGTGTACTACTGCGGCGTGGCATGCCAGCGTGCCAACTGGCCGCTGCACAAGAAGTTCTGCAAGAAGCTGAAGCTGGTGGCCCTGGACCGGCTGGTGGAGTGGCTCATCTTCACAGGTGGGGCATGTGTCCCCTCGGGCCTGCCTGACCCCCATCTCGGGCTGCACAGGTCCTGGGGTGGGATGCAGTGTCCATTCTGCAGCCCCACAGTTCAGGTGGGACAGACAACCACCACTGTACCCCCAACCTCCTCCTGACTCCTCAGGAGACATCCCATTTCCCACGGACACCTGGACGAAACCTGCCTGGGACGTGAAGGGCTGGGAGGACTGGTTCTCCATGCAGGAGCAGCTGGAGGAGAAGCTGGGTGCCATTGTGGCCGGGCGATACATGACCCTGCTCTGGGCCAACGCCGGGAAGCCCCGGCCAGAGGACGCGGAGCTGCGGGAATCCATCCGGCGCCTGGTCACCGACTTCCACTCGCGCCCGCTCACCATCGGCCTGGGACTGCGGCTTTTCGGCATCGACCCCCTCATCAGGCCCCTCACCGTGCACGTGGTGGGGGCTTCCCACGTGGAGACCCTCAACACGCGCCTGACGGACTACGACGAGCTGACACGGATGTTCCCAGGCCACCAGGGCGTGGAGATGGTGATGGTGGGGGTGGACGTGGTGGACGGACCCATCATGAGGCCACCCCTGACCACGCTGGCGCCCCGGGGAAGTGTCTATCTCAGCAGCTACAAGGGGCTCTACCACGACTTCTGGGAAAGCCACGTGGAAACCAAGCTGGCCGCCCCTCCTGACCTGGTGGTGGGCTTTCACCCGGGTAAGTGCCTGCACCATGGTAGAATCGGACCCTCACACCCCACTGCCAGGATGGGGCATCCACAGGGCACATAGGCTTAGGGACTGCCCTGAGCACCCTGGCAGCACCTGGGACTGAGCCTGAAGGTGGCCTAGGATATGCCCAGGGCTTTGCACCAAGGCACAACAGGCAGCTAGGAGGACTCCCTGGGACATGGCTGCCTTGTCTCCCTTCTCTGTCCTGCCTGTCACCCACCTGCAGGTGAAATGGATCCTTCCCTTCAGGTCTCAGTGCTGTGGCTTAGCCCAGGACCTAGAGTTCGGGGTGCCCTATATGCTGGTGAGGAGCCAGACCCCACCTTGCTGAGAACTGCCAAGCTCATTGCATATTCTGGGGTGTCCAGCACAGAATGGGTGCAGTTGGAGCCAGCTTTCCCTGGGGCCAGGGTGGGATGGGAAAGAGGTGGAACCCTCACGGCTGTGTCCCCACAGGTTTCCATGCCTGCCCAGACCTGCTGGCAGGCTGGCTGCCCACCCTGCTGCTGCTGCGGGACTATCGCCTGCCCGTGCTCTTCACTGTGTACAGGTGAGCACAGCCCCAGGGTCCCGGTGAGCTGGCACAAACACCCACTGACGGTGCCTGTCCTCTCTCCTGGCAGTGAGCAGGAGCTGAAGGCCTCCCTGCAGATCCTTGTGGAGCTGGAGATGCACATTGTGGGTTATGCCAGCAACCCCTTTGCCTCTCTGCGGCCTGAGCAGGTGTACTCGAGCCCCAACAAGCCGCCCGTCTACTGCAGCTCCCACTACATCGCCCTGCTGGGAGCAGAGGCTGTGCCAGGGGCTGAGGAGCTGGAGGATGATGATGGCTGGCAGGGAGGAGAGCCCAGTGCTGCTGCTGCTGTGGCTGGGGGCATTGCCCCAGGGCTGGGCTGATTCCTGCCTGCCCTGACCCCCAGAGTCTTGATGCCCATCCAGGACCCATCTCCTCATCTTGGGATCAGCGATCCAGAAATCCCTTACTGCACACATGCAGGCCTGGGGGATGCAGCACCTCAGCACAAGCATGGCACTCTTCCACAGCACCAAATAAATCACTACAGCAAACCAGCTGCCGTGTCTCGAGCTTTATTTCCAAAAAGGCCTTTGTTTTCCTAAAGAAAACAAGGGGCTGAGCCCACCCCAGCCCCCCTCGAGCAGCCACGGCCTCTGGAGGGACAGCGAAGGGGACCCCGACTGCAGGACCAGCCATGCACGGGGCTGTGCAGCCCCTTGGGGTCCGGTGGGGAGCCCCAGCTCAGCGCTTGGCTGTCCCTGCCACTGTCACCCTCACTGTGACCCCCACGCTGGTGCCTACCCTGCAGGGCACTGCTCCAGCCTGGCACCTCCCAACTGCTCACCAGCCTCGGTGGCCCTTGCAGACACCGGGGCGGGTGGAGTCGAGGGAATCAGCTCCCGCAGCATCGCCCGACGCTGCCGGGGACCCTCGCTGGCCTGGCGTCGCCTCCTGGTGCAGCCAGCGGGTCTGGCATGGCAGCCATGGCACTGACCCGTGTGGGCACCCACGGTGGCTCAGGGAGGCCAGCACGCCCCAGGGCTGCCAGCGCCCTGACAGAGGGTCCGGGTCCCTCTCTGGGCTGTGCGCCTGGCGGCGGGGCCGGGGTGGGCGGCAGAGCTGGCACAGTCCAGCACGGAGCGGCACTGCCGGCGTCACTCGGCGCCAGCGCGTTCCCGCAGCGCGGGCAGAGTCAGGGTCTCCGGCGCCGACTTCTTCCGCGGGCGAGTCTTGGGGGGAGCCAGGAACTCGGGGGCCTCGTCGCTGAGGGGGGTGGAGGGGGCGCTGGCAGGGGCCGAGTGCGTGGCCGTGGGCTGTCCCACCTCGCTGACCGAGATGGCCGGTGCCACCAAGCCGATGAGCTCGTTGGTGGCCTCCTGCGTCTCCTGCTCGTAGCGCCGCACCTCCTCCATCGTCATCCCTGCCGAGCACAGCCGGGCTTGGGCCAGCTCGGCACGGCCGCGTCCGGCACCCCCTCATCCCGAGGCAGCCTGCGCCCCGCGCCCCGGCTCCCCACCGAGCTGGGGGACAGGAAGGGGACAGGCACTGGGGACAGGGGGACGGGCAGGGAAGGGGATGCTGGGCAGCACAGCCAGCTCCCCAACTCCAGCGCCAGCCCAGGCAGCAGAGGGGAAGGGGTGGACAGGCAGCGCAGGCAGGGGACACGCAGGGAGGGCAGCTGGGACAGGGGACACTCCGCCGCGGGGTGCTGGGGGGGCACAAGTCCCCCTGCCTGCACCCACCCCCAGGCAGCAAGGCGGGGTCCGGGGTGTCCATCCCCGGCAGGCAGAGGGGCTTAGGGATGCTGGCTCCCCAGCTTTTGGTTTGTGGCCACTTGCATCTGAGTCTCGAAGGCCCGGACCTCTTCCAGGGACATGTCTGGAAGGCAGAGAGCCGCTCACCCGGATGGCCTGGCACCCAGCTGTCACCAAACCCGGGGCTCCCATCCCCGCTCGTGGCAGCCACCTACAGCGCGTGTCCCTGCTGGAACAAGGGTGCAGGCAGCACAGGCAGGGTGCTGGGACCCCTCTCCCTGTCCCCTCGAGCGTGCAGGGGAGCATGCAGCATGCAGGTTTGCAGGCAGGGCGGAGCAGGCAATGCAGGCAGCCCAGGCAGCGTGGGCAGTGCAGGCAGCACAGGCAAGGCAGGCAATGCAGGCAGTGCAGGCAGAGGAAGAGCAGGAGCTGTGATGGGGTCAGTGGCATTAGCAGTTAGACCTGCAGCTCCCTGTCCATGGGCACCGTGTGCCTCCCTCCCCACAGCGCCGGGTGACCCCACGGACTCACCGCACCACTCGTCCACCCAGGCGAAAGCCTGCCGGTGCCCGATCAGCAGGATGTCCCGGATCACCTGCAACGCCACGGGGGTCAGCATCCTGTCACTGCCCCCTCGGTGTCCCCCAACCCCCCTTGGGGCCCCCTCACCTTGTGCACAAACTGCTCCACCCGTGTCTGCAGCCCCCACACCTCGAACTTGACGCTCACCAGTTTGTAGGAGCACATGATGGGCTTGGTGTGCTGGCGCCAGCCCTCTCGCAGCGGCCCCCGGCCTGTTTTGGCAGAGCTGAAGAAACGGGGGTCCTGGGGGGATGGGGAAGATCAGGGTCATGAGTCCTCCCTTGGGACAGGAGACAAGGGGGTGGCCTCAGGGATTCCCCGGTGGTACCTCCAGGCTGCGGTAGTAGCGCTCAGGGATCTCGTCAAAGGCAATGTCCAAGAAAGAGACCTCGTGGTCGCCCAGGATTTTGTCACTGTGGAAGATCTGGGGAGGGCAGGGAGGGTGAGTGACATGGACCACGAGTCACGAAGTTTGCCAGATCTCAGCTGCAGTGCACACTCACATTCTCGCTGTCCCCGCAGTTGTCCTCGTACTTGGTCTCGATGTAGATGGAGAACTTGGGCAGGAAGGAGCACTGCAGGGAATGGCTGTCAGCTGGGCCCCAGGGACATCTGTCCTGAGGGACCCCACTCCCAGGGATGCCCACCCTGAGGGACACCCACCCCCAAGGATGCCCATCTCCCAAAGAGGCTCAGTCCAGGGACACTGATCCCAAAGGACACCCATCCAAAGGACACCCAGCCCTGAGGGACGCCCACCCCCAAGGAAATCCGAGCCCTAGGGGACACCCAACCAAGGGCCACCCACCATGGTGACACCCACCCTGAAGGACACCTACCCCTAAAGGATGCCTGCCCCAAAGGACACCCACCCCCAGAAATGCCCCTCCAGCACCTCCTCCCCAGCCAGCTGTTGGGGAAGGGGACAGGTCATCCTGTCCACCTGTACCATGCCACCTCCTTACCGTGTACTCTGCAGGGACACCGTGGCACATGGCATCACAGGGTGGCATCACCGGGTGATATGACAGGGGAGAGAGGGAGTAGTGAGCCCGGGGGCAGCTCCTGCAGCCCCCCCACCGCTGGGCAGGGACAGGGTGCCCGGGGGTGCCCGTGCCACGCCCTGCCCGTGGCTCACCTGTGATGGTGTAGGGGTAGTAGTTCCAAGCCTTCTCAGTGATGTAGAAGATGCGGGGGGTCACTGCCCGTGCCCAGCTTGGCAGTTTGCTGTGGGGACCATGTCAGGGGACCCCCTCAGGACAGGCCATGGCTGGTGCCACCCAGCCCTGCACTGCCAAACACAACCTGGCTCTGGGACCCCATATTCCCACCCTAGGAGCCCCACTTGCTACCTAGGACTCTCACCACCATCCCAGGATGCCCACAGGGACCCTCACCTGCACCTCTCCCAGGAGCCACTGCCACCTCCCCCACACCTGCATTCCAATACTGTCATGTGCACCTCGGGACACCCCCAGGGACCCCTGTCACCTCCCCATGGTCCTGACCCCTGCCCCAGCTCCCCACCAGGCATCCTGCCCCTCCACTCCAGGATGCCTCCAGGGATCTTCACCTGTACCTCAGGACCCTCATCTGCACCTCACAAAACTCTCAGGGACCCCTGTTGCTTCCCCAGGACCCTCCTCAGTGCCCCAGCATTCTCCCACTAGAGACCCCTGCCACCTCCCCAGCACCTTCATCTGTACCCAGGGCTCTGTGCCAACTCCTCATCTCCACCCCAGTGCCCCCATCCTCTCCTTAGGTTCCCCACCTCGTCCCCAAAAACCCTGACCCCTCCCCAAGAAACACCCACCCTCCATCCTGGACCCTCACCCCTTCCCCAGGGCTGAGTCCCTCCGGGTGCTCCTGTTCCCTCCCAGCACCCCGGCAGGATAGGTCCCCCTGCATAGTCGGGAGGTGGGTTTTGATTAATTTTCAGGCGTTATAAATAAATTTCAGGCTAGAGGGGAATCGTGAGTGCTGCAGCTAAAAATAACCCGTCTCACTCCAGCAGTTCCTGGTGGGGAGCAGCCCGTGCCCGCAGGCAGCTGAGGGGACATGGGGACAGTGGTGCTGGGGCCAGCGACTGCCCCACGGTGACACCCCCAGGGCATTGCCGAGCTCCCTCAGGCACCCAGAGAGGGGTGAGTGCACCCCTGCGAGGTGGGTGCATGTCCTGAGCTGGGTGCATCCCATGAGAAGAGGGCAGCCCCCCAGAGAGGGGGTGAACCCTGGGACATAGCTCCCAAAGATGGGTGCAGCCCCTGAAGACAAGTGCACCCACCTCTGGAGATAGCTGCAGCCCCCCAAGATCAGGCCAGGCCCCCAGGATCAGAGCACTCCAGGAGATGGGTGCACCCTGAGACATAAGGGCAGCTTCCAAAATTGGATGCAGACCCCAAGATTGGTGCACCCCAGGACTTGGGGACCCCACTGGGAGACACACACACAGCCCTTCAAGTGGATGGGTGCCTGAGAGATGGGTGCAGCCCCCCAAGATCAGTGCACCCCAGGAGAAGGGTGCATCTGACAGATGGGTGCAGCCCCCATAGCTGGGTGCAGCTCCCCCAGATCAGTGCACTCCAAGAGATGGGGGCACCTCCGGGAAATGACGGAGGCAGCCCAGGAAATGATGGGGCTAATCCTGGGAATCAGCCACACTGCAGCATGTCCAGGACCCAGGAAGGAGCTTCCCCGGGAATTTTGGAGGAAGAGCTGGGGCCACCCCGATACCTGCCCATGCCCCCCCACCGCAGTGCCCACCCAGCACCCGTCACCGGAGAGGTGACACAGGCTCACCTGGAGAGGTGGACACGCTTCTCAGTGAACTGGCCGGGGCCGTGGACGGGGTCCTCGTGGGGCTCGTTCTTCACCACCTCCACGCCCTCGCCCTTCTCGCTCTCCTGATGGCTGTGCTTGCTGATGGTGTAGAGCTGCCCCACGCGGTACTGTAACCACAGTGCCCGCCCTCAGTGCCACCGGTGACCACCCGGCACAGCCTGCGGGCTGACCACGCTGCCGAGAGGGGAAACTGAGGCACGGAGCAGACCCTGAGCCGTGCGGCAGGCAGGGGGCTTCTGGAGCACCCTGAGTGACCTCCCGGTCCCTAGGCAGCCTCAACTCCCAGGCCAGGGCTGGATCCTACTCTCCCTATGCTTTCCCAGTGCCTTGCAGAATGCCTGGAGGTTTTCTGCTTGGCAAACTACATGGGAGTCAGGGAAAAATGTATATTTATATGATATATAGGGATGTGTCTGTCAGATATATAACCAAAAGGATGTATATGTGTCTTTGGTGATGCAGCTGTGCACCACAGGTTTGACTATTCTGCTGAAGATCCCATCCACCACCGCAATCGCCAGCAAGATTTTATCACTCCACTCTGCCTAAATTAAAACCTTCCCCAGGTGCCACCAAAGGAGGGATGGCACCGCCCAGGGTGGGGACCACTGTAGGTCCCTGCTCCCCAAAACCAGAGACCTTTGCTCAGGGGTGCTGCCCGCTGTCAGTTCTGTGTGCCGATTCAGGCTTCCTGCCGGAGCAGGGATGGAGTTTATGGGCTCTGCCGTGCCACGGACATCTAAACCCCCCGTGCCCTTCGCCTGTTGGCCCATCCCCTGGTCCTGCTGTGCCCCGGTGCTGCCGTCGGACTCTGTGCCCCAAGGTCGCCGTGCCCAGGGACGGGATGTCCCCCCCCTGCACCCCAAAGTGCAGCTCAGCCCTTGCACGGAACACCCCGAGCCCAGCACATCCCGGTCCGTGCCACGAGGACGCAGCAAAGGGGTCACCGTGTCCCTCTCAGGGCAGGAACCGATCCCCTGGCGCTGCTGTGAGACCCCCACCCACAACCCCCCCACGGGGGTGTCCCTGACAGCCGCGGCACTGCCGGTTCCCGCTGCCCCGCGCTCACCTCCTCGGTGGTGAGCGGCATGCAGATGCGGTACTCCTTGACGAGCATGGTGACACGGGCGGGGTGACACGGGCAGGGTGACACGGGCACGGCGGGCAGCACGGGGGGTCAGGCGGAGGCGTCGGCGCTGCCGGGGACACAGCTCATTGTGGGGGAGCCGGAGCGGGGGGGACGCGGCGCTGCCTCCCACGCTCCCATCCCAGCACCCCGCGCTCGCAGCAGCCGCCCCGCTCGCCGTGACTTCACGAGCCGTTGCCATGGCAGTGGCGTGAGGTCACCCGTGCGAGGAGCAGCCTGGGTGTACCCTGCTGGGGACATCCCGGCACCCCAAAACCCTCCCGGCCTTAACCCCTTCCCTGCCAGGCACGCGAACGCGCCCCTACGCAGCTGCCTCGGAGCACACGTGTCCCCCCAAAATAGGGTGCCATCCCTTCGGGGTGCCACATCCCCACCCAGCCGTGGTAGCAAGTGCGGCAAGAGGGTTGCAGGGACATGAGGATGGGATCAGACCTGCCCGACAGTCCTGGAGACCCACCTCTGGGCACCCCCACTCTCCTGTCCTGAGGGGTGCTCCCCGGGAGCAGAGGATCGTGTTCCTGATGTAGGATATCCCTTCCCTGGGCAGGAGCTGGACCCCCCTTCCCCAAGGCTTCCCTCAGCAGCTGTTCCAGCCAGCACCCACCCTAGGGCTGCCCCCCAGCACCCACCCCAGCCATGGCACTGCCAGGCTGTCACACTCCCTCTCCAGCCAGGGCTGGAGATGCCCAGAGTGAGGGTGCTCAGGACAGCTCAGGGGGCTCCTGGACGTGCCCCCCAGCCCCACAGAGAAGGGAGGGGATATGGGCCCTCCTGAAAGTTACCCTAGATGGGGAATCAAGCCTTGGAAGGGCAGATGGGGGCTCACATAGGGTTTTGTCTGGAGGCAAGTTGTCCAGCTGGGGACGTAGGGACATCCTTTGGGGGTACAGGGTCACAGCAGGACACAAGGGCATCTTTGGGGGCACCGGGGAACACAGGAGTGTCCCTGGCGCCACAAAGCCATTTGAGGCTACAGGGGCATCCCTGGGGGACACAGGGACACCCTGCTGACGGGGCAGAGGGCTAGGTGCAGGTGCCAGGTTGCAGGAACCCCAATACCGGGGGCAGAGGGAGGTGACACCCCGGGAACTCCCCGGAGCACTGCAGGGCACGGCATTCTCCTCCCCATCCCAGCAGCTCAGACCGGCCCCCGCCGGCTGGAAAAGGAGGAGCCCCTCGGCCGGGCTCAGCCGCCCCTTCCCCACCGCTGTCCGCGGCCGCATCCCCCCGGGCCGGGCCCCGCCGCCCCCCGCTGCCCGCACTCACCGGCCCGCGGCGGTGCCCGCTCCCACCGCCGCCGCCGCCGCCGCCGTGCCCCGGCCGTCCCGGGCCGTGCGCAGGAGCGAGCCGCCCCCCGCACCGCCTCCCGCGCCGCGGCACACCGACCCCTAGGGGGAGGAATGCACCGGCACCGCACCGGCACCGGCACCCGGACCCCCACAGGCACCGGCACCTCACCGGCACTGCACCCGGACCGGCATCGCACCTGAACCGGCATCGCACCGGCACCGGCACCCGGACCGGCACAGGCACAGGCACAGGCACAGGCACCGCACCCGGACCCGCACCGCATCGCACCGCAGTGACAGCGGCACCGCCATGGACACACGGGCACCAGCCCCGGCACCGCACCGCAGTGACAGCGACACCGGCACCACGGCACCCCTGGCACGGCACGGACCGGCACCAGGGCTTCTCGCACCCACCAGGTTTCAGGGTCCCAGCGACCCCCAGCACCGCCGTGTGTCCCAGCTGGGAGATGCCCCGATGTGGCTTCTGGGTTGGGCCCCCCCGGGAACCCCCAAAGCTCCTCCAGCCACTCACCTGCACCCCGCTGCCCGCCTGGCCCCTGTTCCCCCAGCCCCAGTGCACCCCATGTGCTGGCACTGCCCACGTGCCACCCACAGCCACGTTACCAGCACAGCCCATCACCAGTGACACCGCTGTCACTCCCTGCACCTCCTGTCCTTCCTCCTCTAATTTCCATCATCCTGGACACTGTCAATACCCAGTGCCCTGGTGCTGTACCAGGCTGTGCATTGCCACTGTCATTTTCCTGTTATTACCTCACAAAATTCTGCCATTCCCTCCAGCCCTGCTGCCTGGGGTGCAGGGGAGTAGCCCATCAGTGCCAGGGTGATGGCCACTATGGGGACAGGGATGGGGCAGAGGGGACGCCCACCAGGCCACCCTGTGGTGTTGCCATCACTGGCACTGCTGGACCCAGCACTGCAATGACACTGGCACCGGCCATAGAAGTCTCACCTGCACTGGGGCGCCCGTGGGCTCTTTTGTGATTGCCAGTCTGTGCCATCTCCTGGTGGTGGGGACCCCACTTTGTGTCACCCTGTGAGCCTCAGGGCAGTGGTGATGTGCCCCGATATGGCCCTGGCAGCCCCAGGGCTGCAGGGATGGCCCTAGGCTGTGGCCAGGACAAGCAGTGGCAGAAGGAGCAGCATAGGGACAGTGGCCCCAAAGCCCGCCAGGGTGCCCCACGGGCACCCATCCCACATCCGGGAGCATGGTGCCAGGAGCTCTGCCTGCAGGCACACCTTCCCCTGCCTGCCCTGCACTGCTGCCTTCGTCCCAAACACCAGCCTGTGGTGTCACTGTCCCCCCGTGATGTGTGTCAGCATCCCCAGCTCTGGTGGCACTGGACAGCAGCCACCTCCACCCCTTCCCCACCCCCCCATTTCCCCACAACAGCCCCCAAAGGGGGCCCCCAGGCCCTACATGGCTGGGGCCAAACCCAGCAGGAGTCCCACTGGGGTGACTGTAGTGGTGACAAGGACCCGGCCATGCTGGTGACAAGTACCTGGCGGGCCCTCAGCCCCCCCAACAGCTGCATTCCTCCTGAACCTGTTTGGCAGGGCCCTGTGCAGGTGCCAAGGAAAAGGCATCCGGGTTGGGCTTTTCCTGGTCATGCCCTGCTTCACTCCAGTGCTGAGTCAACAAGGAGTAGAAAGGATTTTCTGGAGCCTGGTGCCCCCACAGTGCTGCTGGTGCCCCCCAAAGTCACCCAGTGCTAACGGTGCCCCCCAGTTTCTCACCTACCAGCAGGGATCCTGCAGAAAGTTAGGAAGGGGAAGAAAGAGGAGGCAGAAACAAATGAAAAACGACCCAGTTTAATCCCAAAGCCCCCTCAAGCTCTGGAGTTTCAGGAGCCCCTCGTGGCCCCCCCAGCCCCCCTGTCTGTGCAGCCCGTGGGGCCCCGGGCTGAGCGCACCCCTGGGAGCACCCCTGGCTCCCTGCTCCAGCACGGGGACAAGGAGCTTTCCAAGACATCCGGCCTCTTCCTCAGCTCCACCGGCACTGCCACCGGCACCCAGCCATGTCCCACCACCCCTCACCCCACCCCGAGCCCTTAGGGAGGTGCCCTGAAAAAGACCATCCTGGTGGAATAGACCAGGTCCACCAAGTAGGCGATGAGGTTGAAGATGGTGAGGAAGGTGATCCCCAGGTGCTTGTTCCACGAGCAGTCCGGGCCGCAGGAATGGGGGCGGCTCTGTCCCCGGAAGCTGTAGAGAGGCCAGAGGATGGTGGCAGTGAGGTACATCAGCAGGGCCAGGAAGTTGTAGCCCACTAGCACCTTCTCCAGCGGGCAGGGAATGTAGGTGAGGCAGCGGCCGATGGTGAAGATGATGATGAGGAGGGTGAAGATGAAGCAGAGGGAGTAGACAGCCACGCACCACATGAGGCCAGGTTCCCCACTGTATGCATCCAGCAAGGAGAAGATCAGGCAAGCCACGTAGGCTTCGAAGACCTTGAGGAGCCCAGGCACGGTGGAGAGGAAGCTGCTGATGTCCCCTGGCTTGGCGCGGGTCAGCGACACCTCGACGGCGTAGGCGAGGAAGCAGAGGCAGGAGGCGGTGCTGGCCACGGCCTGCCGGGCACACTGGCTGCTGCTGCAGGGGCTGCTGATGAAGGTGGCAGGGTAGACCACCGAGGAGGTGAAGACCATCAGAGCCGCCAGCATGGAGAAAGCCGCGGTGAAGTCATCCCAGGAGAGAGGCAGCAGGGGGTAGAGCTCCAGCAGCTCCAGCAGCAGCACCAGCAGTGTCACGGTGAAGCAGAAGCACCAGGTGAACATGCACCACGTCCCGTAGGGACCCGTAAAGAGCCCGGTGGAGGCCACCAGGCTGAAGGCGAGGCAGGACAGCACGATGGCCGAGAGCCGGGCGATGCCCACCCAGGAGGTCAGGGCGCGCAGGTTCGTGGTGGCCACGGGCATGGTCCGGCCGCTCTGTGCCCGCGCCGCGCTGGGCAGTGGGCGCTGCCCGCGGCCACTCTTATCTGGGCGCTGGGGAAGAGGGGTGGGGCGCAGGACAGGGAGCCGCCAGCCCTCCCGAGCCGCCCGTGCCAAGGACCCCCGGCTCTGCTGGCACTGCCACCACGCCGGGTGGCTGCTGGGGGCGGGTGGATGATTAACGCGGGGCTGGGCAAAGGGCGGTGACGCAGAGCCCCGCGGTGGGGCCGGGGCGGGCAGGAGGCCACCAAGTGCCACCGTCCTGGCAGGGAGCCCCAGCCCTGCCCACGGCAGGAGGTACAAAAGCGCCTTTCATGCACCCCTAGAGTACCGGGGGGGCACCTCGACACCTTGGCAAGTACCAGGACTTGGCAGCCAGTGGGGCAGAACCCACTGGGTCCCCCTGAGGGGTTTAGGGGCTGCACTCAGCACAGTGCTCCTGACAGGGGGGTGCCACAGCTGGGTGTAGCCCCTTCACACCCTTGCGGGCGACACCTCCACACCCCTCCGGCACCTCCGCTCCACTCCTGGCACCTCCACCACTTGATAAGCGGCTCAAAGTCCAGCTGTGCCAGCTGCCTCACTGGGCAGAGTGGGTGGGGTGACCGTGGGCAGGGCATCTGCACCCTGGTCACACCCCATTCCACTTCCGCAGCATGCCTGGGGGTGCCCAGCAGCCACAGCAGCACAGGAGGGAGGTGGCACATCTAAAGTTGGGAGTCCAGCAGGAGGGTGAAGGCTGAAGGCTCTGGATTAACCTTTAATGTCACACAGGGTCCAGGGGGTCTGTGCCCATGGCAGAGCTTGGGGATGAGGGACCCATATCAGGGCAGCTGGGCACTCTTGTGGGGGGGGCTCTTCACCCCAGGCAGGTACCTGGCACAGCCATGGTGGGCAGGGGTGGGTACTGCCATGGGGTTCAGTGGTGATCTGGGGGGCACAAGGTGACTCAGAGGTGGCTGCTGGCCTCGCCCTTGCCTGGCAGCCCATTGAGGGGGCTCAGCCCCAGCTGGTTGCTCTCGTTCAGCCGCCGCACGCGGTAACTTTCGTAGTGGACGTTGTGGGTGATGTCCTTCAGGTCCTGCAGGTGTGACCTGCCCGGGGTGGCAGGGGAAGGAAGGGCATCATGTCACTGTCCCCTCCCACCCTGCTGTCACCCCTTGGGGTTCCAGCACTCCCTACCCTGTCCCCCGCTCACCGGATCAGCAGGTCCTGCAGGAGGGGGAACTCACAGTGTGCTGGGTTCTCCACTGCAAAGCAAGGCAGAAGGGCAGGATTGGCAGGAGAGCTCAGTGGTGTTGGGATGCCCGGGTAGTGCACTCTGGCACGCTCTGGGTACCACAGCTCCATGCCACATGGCACAGCTTGGCACCCACCCAGGCAAGGACACACTGTAGGTGCTGCTCCCTGCATCTGTGAAGGGCTGGGGGTGTGAAGGGCTCTGCTCACCTTCAATGATGCCCCACTTGGTCTTGCGGCCCAGCACCCGTTTGCCGTTCACCTGGTGCTCCTGGTCTGCCCCCACCACAGCAAAGGGAATCTTCTCCTGCCGGCACAGAAGCTGTGCTCATCCCGGGGTCCCCAGGGTACCTGCTCGGCTCCCCAGGGTCCCTGTCCCCCACCATGCTCCCCAGGGCTGCCCCTCCATCCCAGCATCCCAGCACTCACACGAATCCTGTCGTTCAGTGCCCTGTCTTCGGAGTCCTGGTCGAAGTCCTCCTGTGGGTACACACTGATGGCGTGGGTCTTCAGGTTCTCCTGGATCTGTGGGATACAGGGCTTGAGCCGGGGCTGGGGGGCACATGGGGCAGCCCAGGAGCCTCTCGGGGATCTGTCCTCACCCGCTGCTTGAATTCTGCCCGTTCCTCCAGGGTGAGGGTGTCAGCTTTGGCGATCACCGGCACCACGTTGACGATCTTGCTGAGCCGCCGCATGAACTCTAGGTCCAGCGGGCGCAGCCTGACAAGGACTGCTGTCACTCCAGGGTGTCCCCACCTCAGTCACTGGGGGGTCACCCCACCACTACCACCCCAGAGTCACTCTGAGGTGACCCCAGGGCCATCATCCCAGAGTGATGCAACCATCCCATAGTGAGCCACTACTGTCATCAGGGGGTGATCACACCACTACCACTCCAGGGTCACCCCACCATTATCACCCGATTCCACCACCACCACTTCACAGTGACCCCACCATCATCATCGCAGGGTGACCCCACCACCATCATCCCATGGTGACACAACCACCCCATAGTGACCCCATCACCTAGGGGTGCTGTGAGTGGGGACTCACCAGTGGCCTGTGGGAGGCACAAAGTAGACACATCCATGGACCCGAGTGTCCGGGATCTTCCTCTTGCGGGTGATGAGGATTTCCTCCCGCAGGTATCTCTCGTACTGCTCATTGATGTATTTGATGATGGGGTCCCAGCTGAGGATGAGGAGTTGAGGGACAGCACCTGAGTTCAGCCCCTACCCCAAACGGCCACCTACAGAGCTGGGCTCCTGCACCCCCTTGTGTCCTACCAGTTCTCATTGTTGATCTGGTCCCCGAAGCCTGGTGTGTCGGTCACCGTCAGCTTCATCCTCACCCCCTTCTCCTCGATGACTGTGGGGCAGTCAGGGGGGAGGGAGCATTGGGGAAAAGCAGGGAACCAGGCATGGGGTATGTTTTGAGGCTGTGAACGCAGCTTCAAACCCCCACCCCAGCCCCCTGCTTCTCCCAGGGGCTGGTGGGACACGAGCCCATGGTGGTGACCTTACCATGGGTGATGGACTGGAGCTGCACTGTTTTGGGAATACGTTCCTCCTGGCCAGGCTGTGAGGATTTCCGGCTCACCTTGGACTTGAAGAGGGTGTTCACCATGGTGGACTTCCCCAGCCCACTCTGTCCTGAGGGGACATCAGCAACTCCGGTTTATCCCCCAGGGCAATAACATCTTGATATCCACATGGGAGCAACCCAGAGGTTGGGATGACTCTGGTTTATCCCCAAATAAATTTCTTCCCCAAGGCAGTAACCCCTTGGTATCCACTTGGGAGCATCCCAGAGGTTGGGGTTGTCCATTTTATCCCAGGAACAAATTTGCTCCCCGAAATCAAAACCCCTGGTACAGATCTGGGAGCATCCCAGATTAGGCCAGTCTGGTTTATCTTCGAAACAAATTTATTCCCCAAGGCAATAGCCCCTTAATCTCCATTTGGGAGCATCTCAGAGGTTGGGATGAGCTCACCTATCAGCATTACTATGCTACAGAGTATGGGATATTACTCCTTTTCTGTTAGCTACTTAAATCAGTTTAAATCACTTAAATTTCCTTAAAATCCTTTAAAAGTATGATTTCCCCTGGCATGGTGGAATCGGAGCCAGTGTTCCCACCCCAACCAGGAGCAAATCCCACGCGCAGCGCTCACCCACAACCATGATGTTGAACTCAAAGCCTGTCTTCATGGTTTTGATTTTCATCTGGTCGAGCACAGCTTCGATTCCCACGTATCCAAAGAGCTGGCATCCCACGGGGCCGGGCGCCATGGAGAGGGGCACCGCCCCCTCCTCCTCCTCCTCCTCCTCCGGCACGGCCGGCGGCTCCATGCTGCGCTCCTCGGGCTCCAGGCTGCTCCCTGCACCGCGGGGTGGGCAAAGGCGGTGACCCTGGACCCCTCGGTGCCCACCCTCGGTGCCCACCCCTCGGTGCCCACCCCTCGGTGCCCACCCCTGCGTTGCCCCGGCAGCGGCCGTGCCGGCGGGCACGCAGCCCCCGGCACATTCCTGGGAGCCGGTGAGGCTCGGCATGGCAACCACGGGCACGCCACCCCCCCGCCGCGCAGAAGGGTCCCTGGATGTGCCAGGAGCATCTTTGGAGCGGTCGTGCCACCGGACCCCACGGTGGCACCGGCTGCTCTGCGATCATCGGGCACGGCGGCCACGGCCAGCAGCCTCTGCCCAGCCCACATGGTCACCCACGCCGGGTCACCTCCTGCAGCACCACTCCGGCCCCGCCACACCCGAGGGGCCCCAGGGCAGGACGTGCCACCCCCCCAGTGCACCCACACTGTACCCAGGCACTGGGCACCGCTGGGCGAGGGGCACCGGAGGTGCCGGGGGTGCAGCGCAATCACCGGCACAACCCCGAGCCCCCAGGTACGCGCGGAGTTTGCCCGGGGGACCGTGCCCGGAGCATGGCCCAGCCCGGGGGCCACCGGAGCCCCGTGCCCGCCCCAGCCCTTTGTGCGGCAGCCCCAAATCCCTTTCTTCCTCCTCCTCCTCCTCCTCCTTCCCAGCACGGCCATTGTTCAGGTCCTACCTCCCCGCCGCGGTGCCCTCGCTCAGCACCCCGCTACGGGCGGGGGGGTCCCCTGGGCGCCATCCGCACCCCCATCCCCGGCGGCGCCGCAGCCCGGCCCCTTTCCTCCGCCAGCTCCCGGCTGGCACCAACCCGGCTCCGCCGAGCCTGCGGCTCCCACGCATGACCAGCATGGCAATATCCGCCCCCCGCAGCCCCCTCCCCACCGCAGCCAAGCCCCTGCGCCCCGTTTGCCGATTGATTGGTGGGCGGGGAGGGCTGTGCCAAGCCGGCTGTGCCCACCCAGCATATGGCACTGCTCAGCCTCCCAGCCAGGCCAGCACGGATGGGAGCCCCTCGCATGGCACAGGACACCCCCACTCCTCACTTTGTCCCCCATCACCCCCGTGAGTGGCTGCGCTGGCACTGAATGGGAGTGGGGGTGCTTGGCTGTGGGTACGACCCCCACTGGCACCCACGGGCACCGAGGACCACCCTGCACTGTGCCCCCCGCCCTCGCCAGCAGCACCTGTGCCCAGCCCCGGCACGGCGGGGTGGGACAAGGGATGGTGGCCCCTTGTCCTTGTGGGGGAGCCACCCGCCCCACTGCCGCAGTGCCCCACGGCGCTTGCGTCCCCCCACGCCGCAGCCTCCCCCGTATGTGCCAGCCGGCGCTTGGCACCGGCGAGGCTGGAGCGGCAGC